TCGGACTCCGGCCGGGTATTTCGAACGAAGTTTTCCTCAGCTCGGAGTGGATTTTCCTGTGCTACTTACTCCTACAACTAGTCTATTTCACGCAGCCTATCTTTGCATTAGGGCAAAACAGGGTGATTGCGTAACGCCAGGAATCGGCGTGAACGAATGATTTGTTTTCATATGAAACTCAGCTGTTAGCCAAGGTGCTCTCACTGCATTATCTTGAAGCCCTTTTAGCCATGGCCTCCTGTCATAAGGGACCATAGTCATTCATTCTAATATAAAGAGGAGAGTACTAAGGCAGCAGTGGAAAGGAAGGAACGAAGATTATACTTGTCTCAGGTTCTGGGTCTGCTTTCAAACCACTCATCAGAGTTAGGGCGAGTAAGAAGCAAAGTTGGCGGACGTACACGGAGTGCAAACATATAATCCGTGATAGGGAAGAGAGAAGCAAGCGACTGGCTCTTACGTCTTCTCCTTTAAAGACTTCCGTTTAGTGTCCAGGAAAGTGTGAAATGCAGCACAGGTGCTGGACTTCAACACCAAGCACCAAATCAACCACAAATGCCGTTACGCAAGGACGGTCTATAGTGGACCGGAAGACGGGGTTGCTAGATTAGAACACTTACGACCAGTGCTCAAAACGAATGGCTGCCTGTCTAACTTCGTCATTTTGTGTATACAAAAATGCGGCTAGAGTCCAAAACGTAATGTTAGCCAGCGTTTTTTCATATCAAGGACACCTTGCGGGCGATGGTTTGCCCAATCTTTCTGCGGATCGGAAACATCCCACAGTCAGCGTGAAGAGGGTCAAAGCCCGCCTGCATACTTAAAACCACATGAGTTAGGGGCTGCTTGGGTCATGGTTCTCCGGCTCCGGATTCATCAACAAGCGCAGTCATCTCTCTTCTCCTTACTAAATGTTAAGTCTTTGCCTGGGCGGAGTGAAATATGCGAACGGGAGCTGCTATTCTGCTGCGCAAAATGGCCAAATAGTTATTACGTACATTACCAGCACTGGTGAAGTAATTGTGATGCTTAGTGTTTCGGGTGCGGATTACTAAGCCATTATCGCATCACTCAAAAGTATCCGTGATCACCGTGGAAGCTAATAACCTTCGCAGATGTAGTCTACGAATACTATACCCCTTGTACCCCTGTTGTCTGTGGTTATGGGCTTGTGAGTAAATCAGATCCTTGTACGAACGATCTAATTCTCTCTTTATCAACTCTTTCCTTTTCTTCTTGTCTTGGCTTTTCGTGTTCTCTTCCACCTTTCCAAGTCTGTCTTGTTGTCACCGGTATCATAGTCGATATAGCGCCAGGCTTCGAACTCACGGTCTCTAACGGCATTTATTCGTTTCATTTTCAGAGTCTCGGTGTCCTCCTGTACGTCCTTGTTGTTGGTGTCCTTCCCTTCGGCGCCCATGAACTCCCCAAACTCCGTGACCAGGTGTTAGCCGGAAACTTCAGGGTACCCTTTTGGCTGTCGAGCCGTGAGTCTTACTTTTATGTGCAGTTTATTTCAGAGGGGATGACGGTGGGTGAAAAGCAAAGAAGAGATGTTCCGAATTTTATTTATCAGATGTAGTAGGAGCACAACAATATTGGCTTAGATGTGAGCATCGCTAGTCGAATCCGCCCACGAGCGGTTGTATTGGCGAATGTGACAGTCGCCAGTCCGGGGACTGGCATGCGTTCTCCGACTTGGTATGACAGATGGAAGGAGCGGGCGAAACAAGTTCTTTGCAGGGGTTTCAATGCTTGTATCACTTCGCGCGTTGCCTTATTCAAGGTTTTTATAATCACTTTTCGCAGGTGTACTTTTGTTCTGGACTGTGAGCAGTAAGAA